GCATCAGCTCTTGCTGTTTAGGCTGCTCCTTGTTGATATGTTTGGGATTCTTATCTTCAAAAAAAAAAAAAAGAGCCATGGTCAGTTATTCATAGATGCTCCATTGCTATCCTTTCATGGTCTTCATGATGAGAGTGATGAAGAATCTGAGTATTAGCAAGGAACACGGCAGAATATACGTATGCATTCCCATAGCAATTAGAGAGCCAATCTGATGTAGGCACCAGGCTAGAAATTAGGAGACTGTGAGTTCTAATCCCACTTTAGGCATCAAGCCAGGAATTAAGACTTATTCTGTTCTGACCTAGGCTTCCTGAATCATTAAAACATACGAGTAGTCCCAAAACCCTTTTTTATTGCAATAGCTGTGATTTCTGTTCGTTCACAGAAGAGTCCCAAATTGTTATAAAGAGTCCTTCGGGATAATCACCCACCTTTATCTCCCTTGAAACGCTGCCAAAGACCTAATTGGCAAAAGCACATGGAGTCCAGAATCAACCACATGGAGTCCAGAGCTTCAGGCTTTAAACTGAACCGAATCAACAAACATTACTTCCGTGCCTTTGCCCCTCTTTTAAGTCTTATGGGTAGGGGCCAATCATCTCCCAGCCCTACTCCCGAGTCGTCCCTTTTCTTTTAGCTGTTCTTGCCTTCTGGCAGCTCTGCGCATGCGCACACTAGGAACAGGCTCCCCCTGTTCCTCTGCCTCGCTGAGGTCCAACTCTGGAGGCTCCTGAGGCCGCATGTACCTCTCAGATGGCCCTTTCTCTGCCTCTTACACAGAACCCTCGTCCAAGCCTTCCCCAGTCTCCAGGACTGGTCCATGATCCTCCCCAGCCTCCTCGCTGTCCGAATCTGCTGCCAGCTCCGCAGGCTTCTGGCAGGCCACAACATATTCAAAGCATCCCTTTAAAATATTTTGCAACTGTAGAATGAAAACCCAGAGTTACAATGAGGGCACATAGTACTCATGCACCAAAAATGGTCTCATTTTAGACTTCTGTTTTCTTGGCTTCGAAGGAGCCATTCCCATTTGTAAAAGGAATAAAAAGAATTGGATGGTTTTTTTTTTAAAGAATCACATTTGTTCCTATTTCCAATGGTTCTACGCATACATTTTGATCCAACTACACTGTTAAGTCTTCATTCCTCAAGTATGACACCAAGCCCCCTTCCTTAAGGTAGATCTACTTTCCTAATGACTTCTTCATATTGCTCAGTTGCCCCATCATCAGAATGGGTAGGCAACTCTTTCTTAGGACGCAGCAAAGGCCAACATCACCTTTTATTAACCTCCCACTCGCCACCAAAATGACCTCAGAATGTATTTTCCAAATTACATTTTTCCATATTGTGTTACCTCATTTGTTCCATTCCATTCTGAATAGCTCACATCAGTTTTTTGCAAGCTAATCATTGGCTACTTTGCAGAGGGAGAAATGTTCCTTCAATGGAGTTAATACTTACCACTCCCTCTAATACCCTTCAAAAAATACCCTTTTTACTATGAGTACTATAATAAGAAAATGGCTCTAATTGTTGCCTTGTTAATAGAAGAGTGTTGGTTCAAAATCTAAAAACAAATATTTTTAAATTATTTTTTTCTTTCCCTGATCTTCCTAGTTTTCCCCTGTGTTCTCTTTTTTAAAGAAGAAAAACAAGTAGCATACCGAAAGTCAGGGCAGGGCATAAACACCAAGTGGTCTTCCAATTTTCCAAAAACATTATGTAATCTGTGAAATGGACTTCCATATTCAGAATGTATTATAAGAGCCGTGGTGGCTCAGTGGTTAGAATGTAGTACTGCAGGCTACTTCTGCTGTCTGCCAGCTGCCAGCAATTTGGCGGTTCTAGTCTCACCGGCTCAAGGTTGACTCAGCCTTCCATCCTTCTGAGGTGGGTAAAATGAGGACCCAGATTGTTGGGGGCAAAGGCTGACTCTGTAAACCGCTGTACTGTGAAAGCACTGTGAAGCGGTATATAAGTCCAAGTGTTATTGCTATAATTCCACTTCAACATATCATTAGCTTTTTCAAGCTTAGAATATTGCATTTTATGTTTTTCTTCATTGTTTTGTAGGTTCCCCTGGTGACTAACACTTCCTGACCCTAAAATGCGCCATGGGAGGAGTTCTCTTCAGATGTCTTGCCTTCAATTAGAATTAAATAATTGAAAGCTGGTGAGGCTACAGTGTTCTGGTAAAAATCTTGCACAATGAAAAAAGACTAGTCACATTTCATAACAAAGTAAACTTGTACTCCACCCATAACAATAGTAAGGACATTTTCTTCCTTTTAAAATGTTCCTTAAAACAACTTTAAAAAAAAAAAAACAAATTATCAGACTGATGGAATACAAAGACATTCTTAGGTAGGAACAACACCAGAGTTCCTGTCATAAGTAGGATACTGCCAGGGCAGTATTTGAAACATAAACAGTACTCAGAAGGTCCATATCAATACTCAGTATTGCAACTGCAAGAAAAACAGGCAGTTTTAGAAATGTTAGATCCTTTTAAAAATCTGCAGTGACTTCCTTTTCTTCTCAGATTATTGATTTGTTCATTGGTTTAAATCTAGCAGGGATCAAGTTAAAATTAATTGTGTTCACTTTCCAAATTTTATATTTGTGCCGGAATTCCCTTTGTTAAAAAATCACTAATTTCCTTCCTGTAATTCCCCCAACAGTGCTTGACTTTCTGCCTAGCAATCCTTCTTTTAGAAATTAACACCTGTGACCCTGGAACGCTTGTGCCAAAATATTTTGCTACAAATTACTAACCAATATATATTAAAATATTGGGAAAGGTTTAATGGCCATTAGGAAAATAAAGTTATTCAAGGGATATTCTTTGGAAAGCCATAATCTTAAACCAACATTTTGCTTGTATTTTACATATGTATTTTTGGCCTTTTTGTTTTGATCCACAACAAATCATTATGTTGAGGGTCATGATTTTTTTAAAAAAATCTTCTGTTTCGTCTGTCAATTATCCCATCCCTCCTTTAGCACCTAAAGGAAATAAAACCTTTCTGGTCCCAATCCCAAACAGTCTCTGTCAGTTTATCTATGTGGCAAACAGCCTCCTTTTGAGTTCTATAAATCATAACATATAAGGGTTGGAATAGACTTGGATAGAATCTTGTCCAAACCTCTGCCCAATGCAGAAATTCTCTGCAATAACATTCCTGCAGTCCAGACTCATTTTAAATATCTTCACTGTAGCACAGTCCACCACCTCCTGGGCAGTCTGTTTCATTACTGATTACCTCTTATCACTAGATATTTTTCCCCCTCTGATATCTAATTGAAATTGAAGTCTATGTCCTTATGATTTTTATACAGATGATCTTCCTCATCTTTTCCATGACAGTTCTAAAGATTTCTGAGGATAGTTATTGTGTTTCCTAACAATTTCCTAACAATTTTGTTTCTGCAAGCTGAAAATAGTCAAGGCCTCCGATTATTCCCATAGGTTTTTCCTTCCAAGTGCAATAACATCTCCATTGCTCTTCTTCAGACATGCTCAAGTTTGCAAAGTCTTTTCTAAAATGATGTGTTTAATGCCGCAAATCCTATAGATATATTTTTAACTCTCATTCAAGTTATTTATTATGTTGAATAAAACTTGTGGATGCTATTCAATACTTTCTTTCATGGATATATACTCACTGGATACAATTGCCGAGTCAGTTCTGAACCCATCTCTTCGATTTTTGTTTCTATTACATCTTGTCTTCTAGGTGGAGCTGTTTTCAAATGGACCAATGAAATAATCAGAACAAAGAGAAAATGGCAACGAACAGGATGTAAAGCAATAGTGAGGAAGCACCAGTTTTACCCTGAAAGGGTTTATAACTTCAGGTGGTAACTTCAGATTAATTACAAGCAAACAAGAATTTGTAAAAAAACAAACAAACCATGAAGATATCTTGTTTTCTGTGATTTAAAAAAAAACATGTAGAAGTGGCATAATGCCATAGAATTGGAAAAATGTTGTTTCTACTTATTTAGGTGACCATAATGATTCACATGTGAAACAATCTTGGGTAGCATTCATCTCCATCCTTAGTTCCATCCTTAAGAGTTATCTTAAGTTACTTAAAGTTTCAAAGCACCCTGAAAGTAGTTAGAATTCTCTTTCCTAATACTGTTATCCTTTCCTCTTGCTATTCCCCTTAATTTTAATTTGGAAATCATGAGATTTCCTGAGCTGTGATTTTACTATTGATTTTGATTTAACTGTTGATGCCTTCCTCAAGTAAATGTCTGCTGAGGGAAAGAAGGATGGGAAGGTTTTTACAAAAGAAATTAGTTGCTTACTCCCGAGAAATCAAAATAAAGACTGCTGACTGTTATAAATGGGTATAATTCTCCTCCCATTAAAATGAAGCAACAAAAGTAACTCCAAATTAGCAGGGTGCAATGAAACTGTCCAGTAGTGGGTTGCAAATCCCGTCGTTACTGGTTCGCTTGTGGGTGCTCGCACGCGTGCGATGCTTCTGCACATGCGCAGAAGCATCTGGGCAGGTGGGCGGAGCTTCCCACCACCATCGCTATTGGTTCGCCCAATCCGGGACGAAACAGTATCAACCCACCACTGAAACTGCCTCTAGTGCTGTGTCTCATGTAAGAAAAAGAAGAGATGCAATCTAGCTGCTGTGTGACCAGGTACTCTTGTTTAGAAAGAAGAACTGCAAATCTGAAGACTTGAGTAATACCGACAATTCCTCCATTCCCCATGTTATATTTATGTGTTTTCTGCTGCTTGGAATATTTAGGAAAGTTGGGTTGGGACAGACAACCAAGTTAGTTATTTAAATATATCTATTTAAACTATTACAAGGTTCTAAAGCTATTGAGTAAAAGAGAAGCAAAAGGTAAAGCAATAAAATGTACTGGATACGTTGCACAGAAAAAAATTACTGCATATAACACACCTTATTTCACAATAGAATGACCACTTAAAATCAAACTGAAAACAAAACAGTAGAACTGCCTGGAGAGACAGGAATGCTTTTTTATTGAAATCAAAAAGACATTAAGATGGGTATCAAGAATGCTTCCCTATTAAAGCACTCTGCTTCTACCTACCATATTTTATATGCCTTCGGTTCTTCCATGAATGATAACAAATAACTTTCAGCCAGCATCGTCTTTAGCAATAATTCTGTTGTGTAATGCAAAATGTCCACTCATGTCTATATCAAATATTTGGAATTGCTTTGGATGGGAAGCAGTATAGAGCTGCCAGTAAATAAAATATCAAAACCAACTGAGTGGAGACAATTAGAAAATATTCTTCTCATAGCGATACCACAAAATGTCAAAACAAGCACTGCTGATCTGGATCTTTCAGAAGTTTCTTCCTCACCTGAAATTACAGGAGCAACAAAATAGACAAAAACAGTGTTTGTGGGATCATAATGTTCACATACAAATACACTATATAGTCTGGGAAGTATAATGAATTGTGACTCCTATGTATACAAATGCAGTAAAATAGAAATAGACAGGTCCATAGTTCCATTCTATGTTTTAGATTAACACACACAAAGAATTAGATTTTTTGCATGGAATGTCTTCTAGAACTGGACACAAATAGACCGTTCAAACCTTGGAACCATCTTAGAGACAAGTCAATTGAGTAGATCAGTGGTCCCCAACTTTTTGGGCATCAGGGACCGGTTCTTTGGAGAGAGGCTGAAGGGGGCATGGTTTCGCATGCTGCCTGCATCCCACAGATGGGGCTTTTCTTGTTTGCATGGCCAAGTTTTGGCATGCCGCGGTCCAGTGCCGGTATACACCACAGAGAAAGGGATATATCCTGCAAAACATTCTCAATGGCAGTATTCTTCTTTAGCAGTGACAGTAGCTTTGTTACTAAAAAAAAAAAAGCCATATGGGAGACATTCTTTCATATTGTACTTGGGATTTAATGTAAGCCTGGTAATTCAGTGATTTTCATTTGTGAAAACCGCACAAGATAAGGTCTGTCTGTCTGTCTGTCTGTCTGTCTGTCTGTCTGTCTATGACATTCACACATACACCTCCTGGCCACCTTATAATTAAAGAGATGCAATCACACAACTGGATAAGTAAGAAAGAAGTGCCTATTACAGCAAAGCGTCTCTTAAAGCCAAATGCCAATTTATACAAGTGTATTTTATGGATCTTATGCATCAGTAAAGAGAAAATAGAATTTTATACATACATATTTTATGCCTTTTATATACGCAAAAATGATGAAGAGGATTTTATGCATGCACAGAAACATAAAATGTATGCAAAGAATTTTTTCATTTTCCCCCAAAGCCTACTTAAACTGAGTTCCATTAAATCAATGTTATAGTATATTTTAAAATAAAATCCATCTGTAAATGGTGTTTAAGCAGAACTTAGAATGACATTTTCCAAACGGTTTACAAAAAGGAGCCTGGATAGCTCAACAGACTAAAAGCCTATTATTAACATTCAGCTGTCTGCAATTATTGCAAGTTCGAATCTCCCCAGGCTCAAGGTTGACTCAGCCTTCCATCTTTTCTAAGGTAGGTAACTTGAGGACCCAGTTTGTGGGGGCAATAAGCTGACTTTGTATAAAATATACAAAAGTATGAAGGCTATTGCTTAACGCATTGTAAGCCGCCCTGAGTCTCCGGAGAAGGGCCTCATATAAATCTAATTAAAAATTTTAAAAAAAATAAATTAAAAGCTATTTCCTAAAAATGATGCTTTATCAGAGTCCATTTTACAATTTTTCAGAAGTTTCTTTCCTGTTCAAAAGCAGTTTCTGTTTTTCCCTTTTATTCATGGGGTGCTTGAGAATTCCTCCTGATTCTCTCTTTGAGCTAACTTTATTATTGAAAAAAGTAGCAAAGGTGCCACAGTATTTTGTTACACCTCTTCCCTGAAGCCTCTTTACAATTGCTTTACTGTTCAAATACGGCTAAGGAAAGAGTTCTCTTTTCCCTTGGAAGTAAGTTGAAGAAGGAAGATTCAGCCAACAAAATATTGGAGATAACGGCCTAATGAAAAATGTAACATTCACACCAAATTCTTGGGAACACAAGGCTAAACAAATGGGTAAATGTCTTTTGTCACCCTGAGAATTTATGCAAAAATATATTCTATTCGGGAAGATAAAGTTGAAATTAAATTCACATTCATTCATAAAATTGAGAATTGATCAGAAAAATTGTAGAATAAATTTTCAACATATCACTCATCACTATAATTCATAAGACCCAAAGGAATCTTCTAGATCTTTTAATCCAAACTTCTGTTCCATGAAGGATCTACTAGGATATTACTGACAGATTACTATCCAACATATGTTTGAAGACCTTTAGCAAAAAAGAACTTACGACTTCATGTAACAGTCTGTTCAACTAGCTGATAGCATATTTGGGCAGGAAGTTCCTTAATGTCTTCATTTTACCTTATACTTTGGATACTCACATTGCATGCTGTATTGACTAGGAAGAGTAAAAAGACTTAGGGTCTGTTAGACTTACACACCCTCAAAACTTCTGCATTGTACTGAATATATGTATGAACATTAAGCAATAAAAGGACATACGGCTCCAGACCATCTCTTTCACTGAAATTTATCATATGCTCTATATAATTCATACATCTTTGTCCAAAAATACTTCTCATGTTAGCAATATTGAGAACCTCTTCTAGTTGTACTTGAGGAGAAGAATGTTCTGGCACTAATCTATAACTATGGGGTGTGAGTCCATGTATGAGAACAGCATACACTACTGGTGTAAGAAAACAAAAATCAGCAGAGATTTTTTTTTAAAAAAAAAAAACGCCTTGATTCTTTGCTCTTAATGTTTCTTTAGATACTTCCCATATGGCCATGCCCCCAAGGCCTGCATGGAAAATGCAAAACTGACCCTAATTATTCCACTGAAATTGACAAAATTCTTCCCTTGATTTTTAGTATACACAAAGTGTTAATGTGCCCAGAGGAAATAGTAAGACAAAATTTTCTAAGTGATTTGACATGAAATTAATGCAAAAACCAACGGTAAAACAATTCTACAAGTGTTGCATTATCTCTCTAGTAGGAATCACATCTTGGTTAGCAGAATATATAGAAGAATGTGCAGAAACATTATCAGAAATGGGACATGACAAGCCTTAAGAGATGGAACATTGTAAGACAATGGTCACTGCCTTGTTTTCCTTGTACTGACATACTTCTTCAGTATAAGAGGGCCGTGGCAGACATAAAGAGGTTAAGAGATGCTCTCGTTTCAACAAAAAAGGAGAAATAACTAAACAAGGATGCCAACATACCTGGCTCAGTAAATTTGCACACACACTTGAAGTTACCGTTGATGACTCTTCAGTGCGATAAAGGCAACTTATAGGAGTCTAAGGAACCAAGTCATTCCAGAAATTCCAATTATGTTGATAGGAAGGGAGCCAAATAACAAAGTTCCAAAGAGAGATTAAAAAGAAAAAGAAGCTGATGCGGAAGGCTGGCAAGCAGAGGATGCCAAAGCAATTTCGAATGGCAACCCCCCCCCCCAAAAAAAACCAGATGTTGCTGACTATATCATGCTTAAAATCATAGACTTGGAGGAGGGTCAATTAGGCCATCAAATGTAATCTCTAGCCTGGTGCTAGAATCCAAATTAAACAAACAAATGATTGTTGAGTTTCTTCTAAAGAGATCTGGTGAAGAGAGGCCCTCCCAAGTGTTTCTTAACATTCAAACAAAATCTGCATTCCTGCAACTTCACACCATTGTTTCAACAAATTGGACTGACAGAGAACAGATCAGGACTATCCTATATAGATCAGGCCCTATACTATAACTCCCACCTCCTGTCTTCTATTCCCAGTGCTAAAGACATCAGTTCCCTCAACTTCCTTTTGCACAACTTGAGTTTCTAATCCCCTGAACATCCACAATGCCCTTCTCTGGACATCTTCCACATTAGTCTGATTTTTTTTTCACATGGCATTCCTGAATTTCTGACAGCCTTAGTGGTTTGAAATCATTTTTGACTGGCAGTGTCTGAGATGTTTGGTCTTAAAAGCACAAGCTTGACCAGCATAGAAATGAAATTACAAACTTAGCATAATATTATTAAAAATAATGTTGTAATTGTGTTCCACAAATACTTAAGGGGCAGTTGGATCCTTCTCTTAAGACACAATCACTTCTATCTTTAAACAGGCTTTTTGGGCTGGGGAGATATCTACTAACTAGAGCATACAAAACATTTGCTAGACCAATTCTCGAATACAGCTCATCTGTCTGGAACCTGCACTGCATATCGGACATTAATACAATTGAGAGAGTCCAGAGATATTTCATGAGAAGAGTCCTCCATTCCTTTACCTGCAATAGAATACCTTATGCCACCAGACTTAAAATTTTGGGCTTAGGCAACTTAGAACTTCGCCGAATTCGGTCCAACCTAAGCATAGTACATAAAATTATCTGCTACAATGTCCTACCTGTGAATGAATACTTCAGCTTCAACCACAACAATACACGAGTACACAATAGATACAAACTTAAGGTAAACTGCTCCAAACTTGATTGCAGAAAATACAACTTCAGTAACAGAATTGTTAATGCCTGGAATGCACTACCTGACTCTGTGGTTTCTTCCCCAAACCCCCAAAACTTTACCCTTAGACTGTCTACTGTCGACCTCACCCAGTAATGGGTTTCAATTTAGTTTGTTACCGGTTTGCTCGTGCACGCTCACACGCACATGTGACACTTCTACGCATGCGCAGAAGCATCTGGGCAGGTGGGTGGAGCCTCCCGCTGCCGCTGCTACTGGTTCACCCGATCTGGGGCAAACCGGTAGCAACCCACCACTGACCTCACCCCATTCCTAAGAGGTCTTTAAGGGGCGTGCATAAGCACACCAGCGTGCCCTACCGTTCCTGACCTAATGTTCCCTTTTTTCATATCTATTTCATGTATTCATAATTATGTTTATATTTATATCTGTTATCTAATACATGCTTGACAAAAATAAATAAATAATAAAATAAAAATAAATAAATAAATATGTAAAAGTAACATTTTCTATAGAAGACCAAGTTCTGTTAAAGAAAGCTATGAAGCCTCACCTGATGAAAAATTTAAAAAACAGTGACTGCAAAGTGAGAAGCAAGGTTGCCAGGAGTGGGTGGGGTTTCCTCACAAAGCTTTAGTGACTCAAGATCCTTTTCTTTCTCCCCAAGAAAAACATGCCTTCTAAACAGATTTCGAAAATGAGATTTGTAGCTTGCCCTTCACAAGATTTTCTGTCTGTGGATACAGGGCCAGGATAAACCATTAACCAGCTTTGACTGAATCTTCAAATGAGAGGAAGTAAAGAAGAGATTATG